ATATATATATATATATATATATATATATATATATATATATATATATATATATATAAAATTTAGTTTCGGCCCAGTTGAGTGTCTCCCGTGCGATTGTACGGTTAAATCTGAGCCATTGATCTTGCTTAAATCAACCTCGAGGATGGCCAAAGTTAAAAAAAAAATGCGGTGGCAATTTGGTAATTTTTGTATCTATGTCAAATTTAAGGTGTGTGATTTTTGTGTTTAAGGTACGTGAGTTTTGTGCTTAAGGTGCGTGGGTTGTGTGCTTAAAGTGAGTAGTTGTTGAAACTTAAGGTGCATGATTTTTCTTCTTAAGGTGTGTAGTTTTTGTGCTTAAGGTGCGTGAGTTTTGTGCTTAAGGTGTGTGGGTTTTGTGCTTAATTTGAGTAGATGTTGAAACTTAAGGTGCGTGATTTTTCTTTCTTAAGGTGCGTTGTTTTCCTTCTTAAGGTGCGTGATTTGTATGCGTCAGGTGTGTGAAACTTAAGGTGAGCCATTTTAAAATCTTAGGTGCGTGCTTTGTTGTGTGTTTAAAGTGTGTGCTTTGTGTACTTGAGGTGCGTGGTTTGTATTCGGTGCTTTGTTTGTGTGCTTAAGGTACGTGGTTTGTGTACTTAATGTGCGTCATTTTAATGGTTAAGGTGCGTCAACCGCACGGAAAGCTATACCCGCACTTAAATCTTTCCCTATATATATATATATATATATATATAGATATATATATATATATATATATATATATATATATATATATATATATATATATAATTAACTTAATGATAGAATATGCAAGCTAGGTGGGAGGAGGGGTGTGTTAGTTGACATGTCTAGTAGAAAACGGTTTGGAAAGGGATAGGTGGTCGTCTTGTCTTTGACTACATTTCTTGTCTTCTTTTGCCCCAATGCATTTTATGTTTCTTCAATTGTAAGTTAATGATTAAAAACATATGTGTTGTAACGTATTATTATTCTTCTTCTAATTCTCATGAACCCATGATATCATGTTTTGTATATATGATGAAAAATGGAAAGTTTGTTTTTGTAGCTAAGCTAGCTTAGATATATTACATATTTGCTTCCACTACACATTATCTCTCTACCTATCTACCTTATCTAGCTCTCACATATATGCATGTATATATGTATCCACACGTGTACACTAAGGTAAGAATACTAATTACATGTACGTAATACTAATTCTTTTTTAACATTCTTATTGTTGCTTTCAATAATTTACATTTATTGCTTGAGCATTATTTTATTTTGTAATTAAGTTGGAATTAAATGTTGATTAGTCTATGTGCTTCACGAAAATATATAATAAAAATTCAAAATTATACTTGTATTTAATTTGTTGCCGTGCATTATTGTGGAGTTGGAAATTTTGAAGTCGGAGGAAGGTTATCGAGGATGACGTCAAGTCAGCATGCTCCTTAATTAATTGTGTTCTAGGTGACACACATGCTGTTAGGAATGATTATAAAAAGGGTGTTGCTATTTGCACCACCCTTTGACCAAAAGTGGGTATAAAGTATCTTGAAATTGTAAAAAAGTAAAAATTTTTAATAATTATATAGATGGTGTAAATAGTCAAATGAGGGTTCATTTTGCTATTTGCACCATCTTGGTCAAACCTCATTATGAGGTA